CTCTAGCCCGGGAAACACAGTGAGACTCTGTTTCAAAAAAAAAAAAAATGGCAACGTATGCCTTGGTATTTTATCCAATTTCTTATTTGTGGAGACACTTGAATAATTTTTTAAAAGACACAAAATTAGGACAAAAAATTTCTCTGAAAATAAAATTATAGAGACAGCTTCAGTTCAGGGAAAAGAAGTGGAAACATATATATACCATTGACCCTTGAACAAGTTTGAACTGCATGGGTCCACTTATATGTGGATTTTCTTCCGCCTCTCCTCCACCAACCCAGATAACAAGACCAACCTATCTTCCTCCTCCTCCCCCTCCTCCTCCTCCTCGGTCTACTCAACATGAAAACAATGAGGATGAAAACCTTTATGATGATGCACTTCCATTGAATGAACAGGAAACATATTTTCTCTTCCTTATGATTTTCTTAGTAACATTTTCTTTTCTCTAGCTTACTTTGTTCTAAGAACACAGGATATAATACATAAAACATACAAGATATGTGTTGATCAACTGTTTATGTTATCAATAAGGTCACCAGTAGTCTATTAATAGTAAAGTTTTTAGGAAGTCAAAAGTTATACAACCTCCACATTACTGAAGGGTCAACTGTACATAAAATTAAAGTAATGCTAAAAATAAGAAGAGTGTGTTCACTAGAAATTGAAATTGCCAGTAATTGGCTATTTCCTCTAAATTACTAAATTGTTGATAAATTTATCATAATAATGCCACTGTTCATTAATATTTATTCAGATGCAAGAAATACACTAGAAATTTGTTATAATGCCACCTGCTCTAAAGCAAAATTTGATGGAAAGCAGATACTTCTTAGAAATCACATATGGAGGTTTAGAAATTAGAGGCTCAAGAGAATTTCATTATATTTTACTCATTAAGGTGTCCATGACATCCTAAGTACTATGGTAAAACTTTATTATATGAGTAAAGATAGCATAATCAATAAGCTTTTTTCTCTTTTTCACAATTAATGGTTTTTCATCTCATCAAGTGTGAACAATCTGAACTATCTTTTAGTCAGTATGAAAACTCCTGTTTATACGTCATTTTTTGGATTTGATGCAGTTTGCTAAACACATTATAACTTCCTTAAAACGCAGTCAAGTTAGGGCAACATTAATGCTTGTTTTATAGATTAGCCATTTACATTTTTTGGTCATGCTTCTGTTATATGTAATTATTTATATGAAGGAACAGGATCTGACCCATGGCCTGCGAAGCCTGTGTAACAATGGTCCATGTTATAACAAAATCATAATTCATCAGGAACAGGGATGAAGTGGTAATAGATTTGAAATTAGGCATATCTAATTGAGTATCAACTTTGCAAACCCTCCAGTTGTGCAACCTTTGGTAATTAACCTCTCTGGGTCTCAGTTTCCTCACTGAACAATGGGAATGGTAACATCAGTAGATTGTGTGAGAAAAAAATGAAATTATGCATGTAAAGTGTCTATAATAATGCCTGCCATATGCTAGGGGCTTAATAATGCTAGTGCTCTTTTCTTTATATATAATAAGAAAAGGAAGAACCACTGAAACGTTTAAGTTGACAATTTAGACTCTTAGATGGCTCCAAGAAAGTGGGAGCTATATGGTTCTTTAAATTTTCAAGGAACCAAAGAGGAAATATTAGAATCCTGAGTATCGTCATGAGGCAGAAATGAGATTTAACTGCCTCTTGGCATGGCTAATACATATTTCACAAAAAGAAGCCTTGAACGCTCTACTCTGGCCATATCCTCTTAAATTTCCTCTGCGTAGTAGTGGTTTGTTACTTAACATGAAGAAGCTTACACATGAAGCCAGAGAGTAAAGGCTCCTAGACCCTGGGCATGCCATCTGCCTAGCATTAAGCAAGAGCTGAAAGTCAGTTACAGAAGCAAAGTCATTTCTAATATGATTTATGTTCCATCCTCGAATGTGGCAGGAAGACTGCAAAAGATATTTGGAAGCCAATGCTTCCTCTGAATAAAGCAACCGAGTATGTACTAAGCCTCTCTCCTTGGACCACGCTGGCCTGTTAGATAAGTTGCCAGTATGGAGTCTGTGAACCCTGGAGCAAACTGGCTATCTGGGATGAGAAAATATCTTGAGGCCAGTGATCATTGCTACCGTAAATGCACAGTGCACCGTATAAACACTGGGGTCAGACAACAGATATCCAGGATATTACTCAAAAACATATCTAGCTCAAAGCTGACAAGATAATCTGTTCCTGTGAGCACGAAGCAGACTGGAATGCTGCAGCTATGACCTACTCAAGGAAAGAAAAAAGAAAGTGAAACTCTCCAAGGGCCCCCTCTCAGGATCTTTATGCAGGCAAAACTCCAGCAGACTTCAAAGGGAGTGTTGCCTAAGGAGGGGGCACTGCTCCAAGCCCACAGGGGGTATCATTTCCACGATCATGTTGCCATCTACATTTGGTGGACTGGCAAATGCAAATATTTCAGATACAAGTTTAAACAGATGAAAAAAGAAGTGTGAAATAGCTTGGAGATTTTCTTGCAAAAGAAACCTCAGAATTCCAGGAAAAGCATTTAAAATCAGAAGCTTCATAAGTTATTCAAAAGTCCCATGAGGGTAATTGATGTGTGACTGTACAAAAAATAAATGTTTTTTTTAATTGACACATATTGTACTCCAACGTATCACATGATCGCAAAATTGTGTACTTAAAAAAATAATTTTCCAAACTTAAGCACTATTAAAAGATCAGTAATATTTTTCTAATTGAAGTATAGACTATATTTTGATGTTTTAACAAAGTTTTAACATACGTGATCCTGATTAATGCAGAAGAGCCAAAATGCACCAATATACTTACAGGAGGACCTAAGGGAGCAGGGAGGTGGAGAGATAAGAAAAAGGGAGAGATGAATTAGTGAATATGAAAATGTTAAGATTAAATAAAAGACTGGAGCAACATCATAATCATCAGCATAATACATGGGACATGGAAGATATTTAGAATTCAGTGATTCTTAATCTTTTATTTAGGTCATTAGAGCCTTGGAGACCATCTCAGAAACATGCATTTATACCTGCACACAAAATCTTACATAAAATTTCAAGGAGTCTTCAGATTCCCTGAGGCCTATCTATGGATTACTGAGAGGTTCATGTACGTTTAGTACAGACTGTCTAATTGATCAAAGTTTAGATAAAATATGAATTAGGAGGATCTTTGGTATTTTATGGTAGGCCAGTCATAGAGAATTGATATACAACTTCTTGAGTTTGCTAAAACAGCCAAATCAGAAATGTACCTATTCTTTGTTCTAAGAATGTATTTCACTCGACAGTACTGTAAATAAATATATGAAAGACTAAGTTTAGTGTTTATAGAGATTTCTTTAAAACTATGTATTCAAGATAGGCAAAATCTCGGAAAATTTCAATGTTTCACACACCATATAACAATTAAAACACCAGTTCCAAGTAGCAAGGAAGTTGGAAACTGACTTTGCATAAGCACAACATTTTTACTCTTTTCCTTGAATACTCTTTTTTTGACTCAAAGATCATTTTCATGATTATCTGACTCCACTGTTTTATCATTTCCTTTTCCTCAAAATAAATTTATAAAGCATCCTCTATTATAAAACTTTACACTTTGTAAAGGGATACCCATACAAGTTTCCAATTATTTAGATTCCACAAGGTTTAAAGACAGCTTTTGAGAATGCTCTTTTAAAAATTAAGCAGGTGCTTTGCTCAAATTAATGATTTTCAATAAACCCTTTTTATTTTGACATCTTTTTCAATGCAGAAGAGGAAATAAGACCCATCACATCGATCTGCTATCTGCTGTTCTTGACAGGTTAGTGCTTCTACTGTTTCAACACTTAGTAATTGATTATTTTTAATTCTAATAAATACTTACAGAAAATACTAGAAAATAATACTTCATAGCATGCTAGAGTCAAGCCTTAAATTACCTTATCTTGCAAGGAAGAATTGATGGCCTGCTAAGACCTCATGGGGTCATTTACAGTTTTGAAATCTTAAATTTTATTAAACAAGTAAAACAGTAAGTGAACTCACTTACACAAATTACCTTCGTTTCAAGAAAATTTTTTTATTTGAGTTTTCTGTTTGACTTTGCAATAGAGATTTGGCCTGAAAGCAAAAATTTACTGGGAGTCAGGACAATTGGTTCTATTTCAAGTTCTGCTCATAAAAAATTGCATGGCCTTGGTGAAATCACTTGACTGCTCTGGGCCTCCATTTCCTCGACTACAAAACGAAAACTCGGGATTGATTACTAAGGCTCCTGTCACCACTAAAATTCTATGGTTATACGAGAAGGATAAGAGTTCCCAAATTTTGAAAAGAATGAGAGTAAATGCATGACAAAATTGTGCCAGTTGGATAAAATGATAATAAAGCTCTCCGAGACATGTGGCCCAGTGGCCCAAGGCAGATGTTTCTGCAGAGCACCGATGTTTACCGGCCACCTACAGAGATGAAAACATTGGGGATGTTGTACTCAGTGCAGCTAAGAAACCCTCTGCTGTTCACAGAAAGGACAGACTTAACCTGACCCAGTAAATAAGCCAAAATGGTGCCAACGGTTACTAAACTGTAATTAATTAACAATATTTTGCAAACTTCTCCTTACACTTTGATGGAGGTGAGGAGAAGATAAAAAAGAATTCCAGGTCTAGCAGAGAAGATTTGAAGACACACACTACCTCCAACAAGACAATATTATCATTAATTAGCAGGAACAGATGCGGGAGCCCAACCCAAACACGAATGACACAGAGCAGCTGAAAGAGACACTTACCAGATTCTCCTCTTCGGCCCCTCTTACCTCGTTTCCCCGGAGGGCCTGAAATACAAAGGATAATGTTTTCAGTGTCGTTTTAACCATTTTTCCTGGTTCCAAAATGGCTCGTAAATAATTTCCATATATTTTCTCACTGTCTTAAACTACCAACTTCAAGAAAGGGGCCAGATATTTGTAAAGGTCAGTATTGTCTTCAGTGTTTCAGGAAAACTCTTAAGCGTCATTTAATTATCAAAGCTGCTCTAGATATCTAATCATTAGTGTTACTTAAGAACACTAATGATTTCAGAATTGTTTATCCTGCTCAGATATCATCAATAAAGAAAAGTTTTGCGAAGAAAATTGGTGGTGCTGAGATTTTATGTTTCTTAGCAATATTTCGTTTCTGAAGGTTTCAGTATATTAATAATTAAAAGTACTAAGTCGAAACGACTATAGTTTTTGTTCATTCAGGTCCATCATGATTTCTTTGAAAATATTTAGTTAGCAGTTAGTTAAATGTAGATATTAGTAATGGAAATAATCCTTACAGATATTTCTATTTTATTAAATGTGAATATATGGACTTTCTCTAATTAAGAACCACCTGAATAAAATCACAATCCTTATAATTGGACAGTGTTCAGGTAGTAACTATAGGCCTCATTTTTCTACAGGGACTGGATCATTATTGTCATTGAACAAATAGTCTTTATGATGATCCCATTTTAAAAGTAGAGAAAAACTTTTTTTTTTTTTTTGAGTGAGTTGCCAGTAAAGACCACCAAGCTAGTATGTACCCGACTTAGCACAAGATTCTAGACAGTCATGTCTTTCAAGCCATTATTCTCAATTATATAATTTCTGTCCTCATTTCCTTAGGTAGGAATAGCTTCCACTGAATTATGGTTCAGGCAAATAGAAGAGAATAACTAGCCCACAATGAAAATTGAAGTCTTATAATATTTGCTAGGAGGAAAAGGCCAAGGAAAATAGTGAACTGTTTGGTTTTAAAGAATGAGCTGCTAAGTAGGACTGATGACTTCCAAACTCTAGAAAGTTCAAGACACAAGCTGCACAGGTCTTAGTATCCAGCTGACTTTCAACGTGATCTGAGCTACCACCTTCCACGTGGAAACGCTATCATGAGAAATAAAAAAAAAATCAGTGGGGCAGTTAGTTTCCTCCTAAACTCTTACACAGAATAAGTCTGACCATCTGTGCTTTGTAGGAGGTTAAAAAACAAGCAATAAAATCAATTGAAAATATTAAAAGAAGCAGCTTTGCGGCAAGGTCCAAAACTGTCAAAAGAAAATTCAGATTTCTTTCTGTATTCTGGAACAAAGAGATGTTTTCATCACATTCAAGGTATTTTGGGCCAGATACAGAGCAGAAGGAGGATCATATAAATAGATAAATAAACCCAGGGGGACGCTAATGGGTATGAAAAATATACATTTGTACACCAGCTCAAACACACACACATATTGACATTCTGATATATGCAACTTCCTTAAGACTAGGAATTATATTTTTTCTATTACAACATCACTTAAAATAAGAACTATTTACCAATTACTATATACTTACAAAGTCTGTAGTTCACACAGTAAGAAAATTAATAGAAGCCATTGTTGATGAGATCATACATGAGAATTTTCCAATATTGAATATAGAAGTTCTAAGGTTGAACTTATACTTCAAGTAGCAAATAAAAATAATTCACATTAAACACATGGAAGGAGAAGCTCAGGAATATTTAAGGATAAAGAGAAAATGTCAAAAACCACCAGAGGGAAAATAATACAGTGGAAAGAACTTTGACTGACTGTTGTCTCATCCACAATAAAGGTGCCAGAAGGAACCAGTTCTGATTTTTATGACATGTCTTAGAAGCCTATAATTATTACTTATTTATTGGAAATTAGGCTATTTGCCATTTTACCCTTGAAGGATGTTTCTTTTAAAGAATAAAATTTATCAAGGAAAAACAATAGATTGCACAAATGTTTAAAAAAGCTTAAAAATATTTAAAAGATAATGGATTATGAAAAATGACTAAAGAAGCAATGATATATTTGGAAGAAAGCAAGAAACAAAGTAAGAATATTTCTGAACATGTCTGCAAGCTTAAAGAAATGAATCAAATGCCATAGAAAATCTGTTATACGGAGAATTGAAGAAGAACAGAATGCAAGGAAACTGAAAAGACATTTGACAAGACAGATGTCTATTGAATATAGCAGGGTTTTACAAAGAATATCATAATGTATGAGAGAGAAGATGAGGCTAAACCAAGTTATGAGAAGATGAGAATCTAAACTCTACTGAATTTACAAAGCAAATACTGACTTTAAGAAAAGCATGTTGGTTGGGCGCGGTGGCTCACGCCTGTAATCCTAGCTCTCTGGAAGGCCGAGGCGGGTGGATTGTTTGAGCTCAGGAGTTCGAGACCAGCCTGAGCAAGAGCGAGACCCCGTCTCTACTAAAATTAGAAAGAAATTAATTGGAC